GGGGGGGGGGGGGGGGGGGGGGGGGGAAGGGACCTTATGACAACATACTTTCGAATTTTTTCCTTAGGTCCTTCCCCACTTGATAACAGGCAAAAGTTTGTGCCAAGATTCGAACTTGTGGCGTCGCCTAACCCACACATCACGCATCGTGCTGTTACCGAAGTCCCTGGGGCTAACTTGTTGAAATTATCTAATGATTGAGTTTTGCATGTCTGGACTAATCTGACATAACACATAAGAAGATTACACAAGGAGGAATATGTCTCGCTCTCTATACTAATTCATTTGTTTATGGGAACAAAGACAGGTTTCCTATTTTTTGTTTTCTAAAAAATCAAGCAGGTGGATCTTCAACTGCTGGTGATCACATATCAAAATCTATGCTCTTTTCTGTCACAGATTATCTCCTAAATTTGAACTGGGGGAATATACTTTGTTTTATAAGTCAAAGAGGGTTATATTAACTGTAGCACCAAGTGTGTGCTTGGAGTATGCAGTACAAAGCAAAAACTTAACTTATTGCACATGGAGTGAACTGAAAAACTTCTGCATCTCTCGTGCAACTACTTCTTTGCTCCAAAAATCTGATAAAGATACATCTGAATTTTTGTCTAAAATGTTCTCTTGTTTTCTGCTACTGATTCTTCCTCTCCATATGATCGACCATATGGTTTCTAGTATGGTGTACCAGAGGGGCTTTGTAGCTTTGTGGAGGCCTCTTCTGTTCCAATATAACAGTAGCTCTTTTGGGAATTCAGGGATGCACCATTTCACTTCTAGTGTATTCAGATAGATCGACCATTGCAAAGATGTAACTTTACAATGAATAAAGGTGTTCACATCATCCTATCTTTCCTCATGTAGAACATATCTGTTGCAAAATATCATTCCTTTCCTCTGTAGAATGTGCTTGAGAATAGGGAATACTTTGTGATCACAATTTTTGTAACCCTAAGAAACCAGGACAATGATCATACATTTTATTTTTGTTTTGATAAAGCACACTTTATATTATTTCTCATTACCTCTTATTCATTGCATCAGAAAAGCAATGAGTTGTAATGGAGGATGAGGAAATTTAAGCAAATAGCAATAATCCTCTAAAGAAATGTTTGGCACATGTATACGTTAGCTTGGTACACCTGAGAATAGCCTCGTTCCCCATATTTCCTTTTGTTGCACCCTTTTCTGTAAGTATAGACGATTGGGCGTTATGCATAGAAAACCATTTTGTTTTGTAAGGTTTTCCATTTTTTGGTTTACTTCTTGTATTCGGGCACATATTTGCCCTTCTTCTAATGAATTTTATTACTTTATTTAAAAAATCATGACTTCAATATTGACATGACCGAAATGAGAGATTGTTGTTAATTCTGGACTAACTTCTTTGATTGAAATATTTCCGAGTGCTTAAACTTTGGTCTGATAACTATAAAATGTAGTATACTAGTCAGATTGCTGCGCACTTAGTATTGATTGGAAAATTGTCGAATACTTTTGTCCTTGCATTTTAAAAGATATGAGTCTAGTTGTAGGCAGTCAATTGAATTTTACTTTTGTTTAATCTTTTGCCAAACCATTGAGCTCTGTTGGACTATGCTTTCTGACTTAAGTTGCTTCATATAAGTGTGGACTATCTTTAAGTAAACATGTTTCTCCAAGGTGGTGAAATGATATTTTAGTTTATTTTACCTTTCTATTGGTTCTATTACTGTCATTGAAATAATGAGTATTAATCCCTCTTAATCACTGTAGGCCGGTTATGTCGGAGAGGATGTGGAATCCGTATTATACAAATTACTCGAGGTATGCATGATGATTTAATAGCATTTGAAGTTTTTTTTCATTCTATTCATTCCCGATCTGCTTAGTTAGCTCATTTCATTGACGTTACTTCAGAGCAGAGTTGTAATATTGAGAGTTTCAGATAAGAAATGGTTCTTATTAAAAAAAAGTGATCTGACGCCCGGGCTTGTGTGATTTCACTAAACATGAGGGATATGATCCTAAATATTTAGTTTTCCTGTTTCCAGCAACATTGCGAAGAGATACACGCAAGCACAAGTTCAACTATGTTCTCAATACTGATACTATCAATATATTACTTCTTTTACCTTGTGCAATCTTTGCAATGTTCTTATCCTTCGGGGTGGCCCAATGGTTTGGGCTTGAGACTTCCATGTTGGAGGTCTCAAGTTCGAAACCCCTTGCTAGCGAAAGCAAGGGGTTTGCCTTTTGGGTCGAGCTCGTCGCACCAGGCTTGCCTGGTACGGGTTACCTCTCCGGTGTGGTTTGCGAGCTATTGCATAGAAGTGGGAGGAGTTTTACCATGTGCGCACCCAAAGGGTAGCGGCTGCGGGTTTCTCTTGTCATAAAAAAATAAAATAAAATCTTTGCAATTTCTTTCGGACTTATGTATTTCTGATATACCATTGGTCAGCCATTCTGTGTAAAAATCTTGATGGCTTCTCTTTGGGTGTTACTGCTCCTGATTCTTTTGGTATAAAAATCTTGCTTCCATTTGATGGCCATTCAGAAAGTATGAGCCTAATAGAGTAAATATGATTTTTAATTGGAATATGGGAGCAGCTGAGTAATTCTACTGCTAAAAAACTGAATTTATTGTGCATGTGAAGTACTGCTACTGCAAATATAAGGTCATCATGTAGTAGGAGAAACATTTAAAACTGGCTCCTAGAATTGCAATTAACTCATCATATTTTAGATTTGAAGAATTGTAGGGAGGTGATTGATAAATTTGACTAGTTTAACAAGGAACTGGCTGGATAGTTGGCCCAGATTGATGAGCCTGTGTAACCAATCAAAACTTTAGGAGCTTATGTCACACTAAAAATTTAAATTTTCTGAATAACACTGCTGAGCTTGACTTTTTCTAGAATGTTTAATTTGTTCAGTTGTGGCACAGTTTTTGGAGGATTCGAGTGAAAAGAATGTACGCTGATATGAATAAAAGAGGGTAGTGCCGGCAAAATGAGCCCATATTTTGGTAACCCCCCCATAGTTTAATGGGTTGGGTGAGTGACTTTTTACATGGGTAAAATATGGGTTGATACCCATATTCAACCCATAAAAATATGGGTAAAATATGGATTAGCCAAATTAGTTGAGCTTCTAACTTTTATTCACTCAAAATTCATGATATCACTAAAAAATTGTAACTTCTCTTCCTTTTTATGCTCTTCTATAGAACTAATTATTTTTCTCTATAATTGAAAAGGTGTAGTCTTTGGCCCTCCAAAAATATATATTTTAAATGTACATTTCTTTTGTTAATTAAAGTATAATTATATTTTTATATTGGATAATAAATAAAAATGTAAAATAAGCGAATCATGTATTAGTATTGACATTGCTTAAGCCTTAAAGTGCATTAAGCATGTTTTAGTCCTAAAAATGCAAACTATTCATTTACTTTGAAATTAAAAAATATTTTCCCCTTGTTATTACATAAATTTATTTTATATTGAAAAGTTAGGTATTTTTTTACTTTTATGATACAATAAAACTAAATGAAGCATTTTCAACATTTTTCATCTAAAAAAAGACTAAAATATTTTCTCCATGTTGAATTCCTAAGTAGAGTACTATTTACTCGTGAAAATATGGGTAAAATATGGGTAAACTAGTATTTTACCCAATCAATTTGTTACCCAATCCATTTTTACCCATATCAAATATGGGCGGGTTGAATTATTACCCATTTTATGTTGACCCATTTTCTACCCGCCCATTTGCCACCACTAAAAGAGGGTAATGATTTCCAAAGTAGTCACAATGGTTTCACATTTGTGCAAAAATCATTTTTCCTTTTCATTTTGAGCTGTTTAGGTATAAGAATTATCATTATCACATTGTTGTGAAACTCAACAAACCTGATTGAAAAGGTTGACCCCTTGATGTTCAGCTGATTATTGCATTGGAATAGTTTCTTTTTGATGAAGGTTGCATTCAATAGTTTCTGTGTGGAAGCAAGTTGACTTCCTATTTCATTGTCAAGTAGACTACATGGTTTCTCTTTTGTGATCTGCTTCACTTTTGCACTATCAGCAGCATAGTTATTCAATTATAAATTTTTGGTGTACATGATTGTTTGCAGGCTGCTGACTTCAATGTCGAAGCAGCTCAGCAGGGGATTGTCTACATAGACGAAGTTGATAAAATAACCAAAAAGGTAAAAAAATCATCATCTACTTTATGAATTTGGATTATTGATTTTAAAGTAATCATTCTCATCAGTCATTTGTCTAGGCTGAGAGCCTGAACATTGGCAGAGATGTATCTGGGGAGGGCGTCCAACAGGCGCTGCTGAAGATGCTTGAAGGAACAGTGAGTGTTTATTGCAAATCATTTCATCTGTTTGTTCCAATTGCCTATTACTCTTGTAAACATGTTTACAAATTCAGGTCTGTAGTTCTGTGACTTAATGTGTTCTCTTTTGAATCATTTTTCGGAGATCAATAATCTCACTTGCTAAGTTTATCTTTTTCTTCCTCAGATTGTAAGTGTACCTGACAATAGAGCACGGAAGCATCCACGTGGCGATACTATTCAGGTATACTGACTCTATTAAGGCCTCTTTTATCTACTTTTTCTTTTTGAAAATTGCAGGCTAACAGTTTTGTGGGAAAAGCACTTACAACTTGCTATTTGGATGATAATATAGTTTTGTGCTTTTAGAACCAGTTTGATTAAGTTAGGGGTGGAAAACAAATCTCTACTGGGAAAGATTGTTTGACCAAGGAAAATGACATGTCAGACACTGACCTATTCAACAAAACATAAACAGAACGTCTTCACCTAAACTACACATATGTTGGGAGGGGGAAGTCAAGTCAAATACTGGTTTATATATGCCTTGCAGCAATCATCTACGAAGGATTTAAAGTTGTAACGAGTTGGACATTACTTGTTCACTAGCTCATCACTGTTCTTTCTAGATGCTGACAGCTTTGTATATTTTTTCATATACTAATTTGCAGATAGACACAAAAGATATCCTTTTTATCTGTGGTGGAGCTTTTGTTGGTTTAGAGAAGACAATTTCAGAAAGGTAATCTGTCAAACTCAATTAATTTCATGAAACACATTTAGGTCAAGTGATATATTATAGTTCAACTTATCATTCCTTTCACAGACGACAAGATTCTTCAATCGGATTTGGAGCACCTGTTCGAACTAACATGAGAGTTGGTGGTCTAACTGATGCTGTAGTCACATCATCACTTTTGGAATCTGTGAGGAGATCCCTGTGACTTGAGCGTAGTTTTCTTTTCCGGATTACTATTTTGTAGATCTAATGACTCTTTGTTCTTGTGGAATTCTAGAAACCAAATGCATTGGAAGCATTTATTTGACATTGCTTTCTGTATCTAGGTAGAAAGTGATGATCTCACTTCATATGGACTCATACCTGAATTTGTGGGACGGTTTCCAGTTTTAGTGAGTTTATCTTCCCTTGATGTGGATCAGCTTGTTCAGGTTTGTCTACTCTTTTCGCCCTTTGGCGATGTAGTTTCTAGTTTCACATTTTCCTGATATAATTGGCTTTTGGGAACTCCAACTGTGCTAAGGAGGTTGATGACCAACTTAAAAATAGTCAAATTATGATGAATCCTCATAGTATTTGTTGATGAAGTCTTATTGAAATGGGCCCAACCAGAGTGAATTACACCCCAATTTTTAAATGTGGTTTTGATCGATTGATTGGGTGGGGAACTTTGGGAATTTTTCCTTTTGCTTTTAGGTGCTATCATGGACTCTTAAATAGTAAATATGTTCTGTTATATGTACCCTCTTCCAATATTTGCCTTCACTCTCTTTCTTTGATCCTTTTTTCCATGTTGACATCAGTAAAATCATCTTTGTGCCTCTAGAATTGGAGCTTGAGATGCTGCTGCCGCGTGCCAACAATTACATTATCAAAATCTTCAAATAAGCCTTCATGCTTGACGATTCTTTGCATTTATAATCTAGATCAGAAGTACCTTTGCCTAGTTAAATGCTTTAATCTTACAGTAGTAGGTTAATACTTAATACATGGATAGAGAAGTCAACAACAACATATCCAGTGGGATAGAGAAGTTAACCAACTGAAGAAAATGTGAAGTGTGTGGCTGTGTGTGTGTTTGTGAGAAGTCTTTTTGAGGTTCAATTTGCATGCATTGAGAAATATCTGTTTATGATTTTTGGACTTTCAGGAAAAGGAGAAAAAAAGTTATAGGCTGCTTGAAGATGAAAGAAAATATTTGAAGTTGATGTTCTCTTTTGCATTTCACCCTCCGTATTGTTTCTTAATTTTTTTCCTTTTGGTTGTGGGTCCTTATTTTTGCTCTGCAGGTTCTCACAGAACCCAAAAATGCTCTTTGCAAGCAATACAAGCAAATGTTCAACTTGAATAATGTAAGCTTTTAGCTCAGCGCTGTTTAGCTTTAATGTTTGATACTTCATTCCTCTTAAAAAGGAAGTTTCTCTCTTTTTTCCAACACTCTCGCTAGAAAAATGGTAAAGAGAAGAAGAAGCCATTCTTGAAAAAAAATGGTACTTCATTATGATGCACTGGATCAAAATCAGTCATGTTACCTCAAAATTGTTTGTTTTGACGGTACAGGTCAAATTACAGTTTACCGAGAATGCACTTCGACTTATTGCCGAGAAAGCCATTGCCAAAAACACTGGTGCACGAGGCTTAAGATCTATACTAGAAAGTATTTTGACTGAAGCCATGTTTGAGGTATTGCATGTGACACTGCAATTTTTTGTATTTGGCGTTAATTCTGGAAGAGCTTGGTAAAATATCTCACCATTTTACTCTCATCACATTGAGGCCACAAGGGAGGAGATCTATCACCTTTTACTTGGAAGTTTGAAATACCTGCTTTGTGTATTACTTCCAAAATTTTCGTGAGCACCCCATAAGTGGTTGGCATAGCTATCTTATTTGCTCCAAATTTCCAAAATGAACCTAAACATGATCTTTACCTGTCTTTTGAAATGTGCCTAAATATTGGTTTCAAAAGCTCCAAAAGTTCTATTAAAGTGCCTTTTCTCTCAAACCTTTATGACTAAATGTATTTTTAATCATGTTGCAATTACCTGAGGAATTGTTATTTTCATGCTCAAACGCGTCACATTCCCAAACGGTGCCTCAGTGAAATATCTTTACATAGCTCTCATTATCCTTGTGCTTTTTCGGTCACATGGCACTCAGAGGATCCTTTGTGCATGCCACAGCTGTTCTTATAAACCATATCCTGGAATATTGTGCACAGGTTCCTGGAAGCAAGCCAGGCGAGGAATCTGTAGAGGTTGTCTTGGTTGATGAAGAGGCTGTCGGAACAGCTGATACAATTGGATGTGGAGCAAAAATTCTTCATGGTAGCAGTGGGCTGGAGAATATTTCCCCTACTACTGGATCTTCAATGACAATGGTATGTCTCCTTTCATAGATAAGCATTTTAAGACAACTTGCCATCAACCAACCCATCATTATTATGATCGCCAGTTATATTTGTATGAACGTACTGAATCTTGGTCAATAAGTGGGAAAATGTGTGAATCAAAGAACTGTTTGCTTTAGATTTTCCATGCTCTCTGGAAAGGATTGCTAAGTGTAAATTTCTTGAGTGATTTAGCAATTTTTTTCAGGAAAAGAATGAAGCAACAAAAGAAGACTTGGACTCAGAGTCTGAGGATCCGGCAAGAGCCTTGAGCTTGTGATCTCAGTGGTCTGTTTCTTCTCAATTTTCTTTTTTTGTGTGAATTCTTGTATATAAAGTATCGTCAAACATGCAAAGCTAGTTGGGGTTCCTTGTTCTTAAAAGAAGGCTTTTTGTATACCCAGATTTTTAAATTCCGAATTGAGTTTTTATATAAGTTCCACAGCCTCTTCCCCTGGATACCTGATCCAATCCATTTTGACTTCCAGGACGATGCTAAAAATTATGCTGTTCTGTTTTCATTCCTATCTGAGGTTCTATTTGATGCACGTGATTGGTTAATTTGAATTTGAAACAGTGTTAAGGGGGGTACAACCTCAAAAAATGGGGAAGTTATCTCTTGTATATCATGTGAACTAGAGATTCTATGTTGCAATTGTATGGTGAGTTTTGCTTTGATATGCTTCTCTGCAGCAACAGGAGATATATGGATTTTGCACAAGTTGGATTCGGCATTCTACAATCACATAATAGAACATCAACTTTCTCTTTGGAGATTAGTTAGAGCTTTGGTTGAAGTTTATTCATGAAAATACTCGCTCAACCACATCTACCTTAACTTTTCAATTCCAAGGAATGAGTGCATGAGCTGAGTTCAAGTTCGGTTATAATAATCTTTGCCCGCTTTACAAGCAGCTTCATTGTCAATTCTGGAGGATGAGGTTGACTTGCTGTGTAGGGGGGATCATTTATGGTTACCAGTCGTGTCAATGGCAAGGAATAAATTGAAGTGCTTACTCAAAAAACAAAATGCAGCACAATTGCATATACAACCTCTCTCTCTCTGAGTTGTATGTATTCACGTTGAGGGTTTCTCATGGATGTAGATTTGTACAGTAGCTATTTTCAAGAAATTAGTCACTTAAGCATCAGAAAGGACCTTGGTTGGTTCATCTCGATCCGTTAGTGATGTCTCTTCTTGATCTTGTCTAGTGAAGGTTTCTCGAGTTTAGAGGTTAAATAAGGATAGTTGAGTTGGTGCAGCACGTGGTATTATGTCATAGGAGCAAATTTTGTTCATCTGACTGCAAGATATTTATGTTCCCTAGCCCGACGACTTGAGCCTACAACACTTTGAATTTTTTTAAAGTTTTTGGGAGGGACTATTTTTCCTCTCTGTCATTCTCCTCAGCAACGTCCTATTTGTCATTCTCATTTATCTTGGGTTTCTTTGCCTTGTCCTTGTTCGTATTTTTGGATTTATTAATCCTTCAACCTTTTTTTAATTTATTTTGAGTCATTTTCATGAATTTGGCGACTAACATACATAATCACGTTATTAGGCTAGTTTCACCTTTACTTAATGAATTTGGCGATCATGTCTACCAGATTCATTGTCTCTGAATTTGCCCAACATTTCTCCTAATTTAGCATTACTTGTCAATTTTTTTTTCGAGTTTCAAACCCTCTCTTCTCTCATTCCAATGACAGATATTTTGTATATCTAATTATGCGGCAGTCGTGCGTCCTTGCCCGATTTAAATCTTCAATACTTGGAATATTTTTAAAGGTTCTTAAACTGTTTTCGAATTTAAAACAAATGGCAAATAAAAGAGTGTTATTATTTTTTAAAAAAATACATTCAAATAACAAAAAAATAATAATTCAAATAATGATTAATTAATTATATATATATATTTTATTTTTTTATTTTTTTTTATTTTTTTATTTTCATTAAAAAAATATGAATTAATAATCTAAAAACGCGTTCCATTGATGATATATTGAACTCGACGAAATAATTGTTTTGTCGAATTTTCAAAGTCTATCAAAAGCATATCTATCTATCTATCTATATATATATATATATATATACTTATATACTACCTTAAAAGCATAAACTCCTAAATTGAATGTTGAATTACTATAATACCCCCAATAAAAAATATTCAATTTATTTTATTTATTAGTTTTAATTATTTGTACTATATTAAATGTAGATACCCTTTCATATTAAAGGGTTGTGATTTTCTCAAAGAGATGTGACTTTTTCAAAGGGTTACGACTTTTTTGACATTTTCGATGAGTTGTGACTTTTGCAAAAGTTTGTGATTTTTCCGATGAGCAGTGACTTTTTCGAAAGGTTGTAACTTTTCTGATAAGGAACAATTAACACCTATTAATACTACTATTTGTTAGCTATAAATAGAGGGTTTCCTCTCACTTTTAAACTACGATCTTTTAAAGTTTTCTACTCTTCTTCTTAAAAAATCTTAGGGTTATTTCCAATAGTTGATTAAGTTCAAAATTCAACAAAATTTGAGATACCACATAAGAAAGAGTAGGTGAACAAATGTAGCAAATCATTCATAAATTCACACTCGTATTTTTTCTTACGATTTCCATGAGTTAATAGTGACGAAAAGTTATGGGAAAGCCAATAATAATAAACAAATATGAAAAAAGTCACATGATTTGGGTAAGATGTTTCTTCTTTGATTTTTTATTTTTTATTTTTTTACCCTCAAATGAAGCATTTTCTTTCTGAGTTTGCTTTACAACGGGCATCAACGTTGTCCATTGAATCAGTAGTTTTGATGTTAAATCCACTATTTCAAAAATAGATTTTCACTTTTACTTATAATATGATAATAATTATTTTTTAATAAATATGTAAGTAAAAATGAACGAAGAAAGTAAAGTGTCGATGACAAGAGATTTTAATCAAATGGAATACTATGGTGAATATAGCATGAAAATATATTTTTGTCTTCCTTCTTCATTGTCTATGTATCGTTTCATATTTATTTTTTTCTTATTATTTTTTGTTCATTTTAATTTGAGAAAATTTCATGTCACAATATACACTCCTTGTTAACTATATAAAAATACATAAGAAAATAGTGATTGGTCATGAAATAATCTTAAATAAAATTAAAGATTCTATAAACAATACTTTAAATTTTATTCATCTATTACTTTTTATTATTGAAAAAGTTTAATATATTATATCACGATACAACTTCTATAAGATTCTAGATACTTTCATTAGACAACAACTATATGATATGTACGTGGCAGGAAAAAGGAGAAAACTACAATTCTACAATGATAAGGTAAAAACTTAAAGAAATGAAATATTTTTCACCAAAGGTAATGTTGTTCATGATATATATATATATATATATATATATATCTAAAACAAATAATTGGTCAAGCTAAATATTTGGCATAAACTCAAACCTCAATTTAACCATCATTCGTTATAACAATAAAGTACCCTTTTTTTTTTAGAATTACCTCTCTATGATAGTCTTACTCAAATATTAATTGGTAAAAGACAGATTAAGTATAAAGATAAAATATTGAAATATTTATGGTAATCCTTATTAGTGTCATGTACATACTAAATTTCAAGTATGAATATTTAAGGAAAAATTATATTTAAATGGTGTCCATCATTTATGTTCATAACACCTCAAGAGGTAAGACTATTGGTGACATTTTTTGTATTGATATTTTTTTAAAATTTTGTTGGTTAGATTTGTTTACAAAATTGAGTGAAATAAATAATAATAATAATAATAATACTAAAGAAATGTCACTTTCTCCCCATATTTAACGTTGAATGTATTTTGAAATGTTTCAATAATATCTGGTCATTTTGATCTCAAAATACAAGTAACTCTATGGCAATCTGTATTAATCATTTAAAAGCGCTTGTCCTATGTTCTTTAAATTATAGAATTATTTACTAAAAAGATTTAATTTAGTAATATTAATTCTATTTTACAACATCGTATACTATATATACGTGTGGTCATTCTCACTGAAGTGAAAGAAACACACTCTCTCTGGCAGTAAGCCTTCTCTCTCTCTCTTTCTCTCTTTTTTCCAATGGAATTTTCGTATTATGCTTAGGCTCTTAGGTTTTATGTGTTTTATGTCTTAGGTTGAATTGTGTCTTAGGTGCTTTAGGGTTTTATGTTGGAGAATTTGACTTCTTGATGTTTCTTGATTGAAATTCAACAATGTAATTGATATTGTTTTTGTTTTACCTCAATGGTTTGTTATATTCAAGAATTTACAATGTCATTGTGATTTTTGCCAAGATTCTACAATCTCTTTGTGATTTTTTTACCAAGATTTTACAATGCCATTGTGATTTTCTTACCAAGATTCTACAATGTCTTTGTGATTTTCACCAAAATTCTACAATGTCTTGTAATTTTTTATCAAGATTCTACAATGTCTTTCTGATTTTTATCTAGACTCTACAATGTCTTTGTGATTTTTTACCAAGATTCTACATTGTCTTTGTGATTTTTGACCAAGATTCTACAATGTCTTTTCTGTAGTGAAGAAAGCATAAATGGTACCTATAGTTGTCTGATGGATGTTTTGGTAACTACTTTTAGGCTTTTCTCTAGGGTTGTAAATGTTTGTGAAATCTGCAATGGTGAAGTACTTGATTAAGATCAAATATATTTTTGGGTTCTTCAAGTAAGCTTTCTCTTCTTCTTTTTTCTTGATGGATTTTCGTACTGCTATTTCAAGATTTTCTTATGCCTACTGTATTTTAATTATGTCTTGGTTCTTTAAGGCTTTATGTTGGAGAATCTGACTTCTTGATGTTTATTGATTGGAATTTATCAGTAATTAATAATGTTTTGCTTTAGTGGTTTGTTATGTTTCGAATTTACAATGTTTATGTGAATTTTTACCAAGATTCTACAATGTCTTTTCTTTAGTGAATAATGTATGGTACCTACAGTTGTCTGATGGATCTTTTAACTACTTTTAGACTTTTATTTATGGTTGTAACTGTTTGTTGAATCTTTAATGGTGAAGTATTTGGATCAAAGAGATTTCTGGGTTCTTTGTTGCTTTTATTTTTTCTTTAAAATCTACCAAGAGTTGAATGCCTGCTACTATATGATTGGATGATATTATTTATTTTTAATAATCAGTGTGGTTGTCTTTGTCTTAAAGTAAGCTTCCTCTCTTTTTCTTTTTTTGATGGATTTTCGTACTGCTATTTCAAGATTTTCTTATGATGTCTACTGTATTTTAATTGTCTTAGGCTTTTTAGGGATTTACGTTAAAAGAATTTGACTTCTTGATGTTTCTTGATTGGCATTCAACAATGTAATTGATATTGTTTTGCTTTAGTAGTTTATTATGTTAAAGAATTTAACTTATTGATGTTTCTTGATTGGCATTTAAAAATTGACATCTTTACATAGTTCTCATGATCCTTATGCTTTTTCGGCTACATGGCACTCAGAGGATTCTTTGTGCATGCTTTAGCTATTCTCTCATACCATATCCTGGAATATTAAGCACATGTTCATGAAAGCAAGTTAGGCAAGGAATCTTTAAAGGTTGTCTTGGTTAATGAAGAGGCTGTCGGAACAGCTGATACAGTTAGATGTGGAGCAAAAGTTCTTCGTGGTGGCAGTGGGTTGGAGAATATTTATCTTTTTACTGGATCAACAATGACAATGGTTTATCTCTTTTCATAGATGAGCATTTTAAGATAATTTGCCATCAACCCGTCACGTTATATATCTGATTATGTGCAAAGCTAGTCCCTACCAATTATAGAAATGATTGTCTAGGATTGACCATAATAATCTAGAAATATAATTCAAGCAATGTCTGATCCAGTGAAAGCATTTAATTATATAGTGAGTGATGTCTTATAAACCATAAAAGATGTATATTATAGGCTAGTGAATGTCAAATTTTGTCATTGCTTTCTTTTGTTGCTTATTATCCTTGTTGGCCATTCTAATGCTCCAATGCTTAATGTTCACAAAAGTATTATTCGTATTTCGACCAACAAAAAAAAAAGTTTTATTCATGCTTCTGTGATGTTTCTTACTAAATTAGCTACACTTCTTTCTCTCCTGAATCAGCTAATGCATGGTTTACTTGGCTTCACAATGGGTTCCTTATGGAGGTATGTTGTTAGTTTGTTATGTCTCTTCATATCTGAATGCTTATTCGTCAAGTCTTTGCAATGGAATTTGTTTTGACTGAAAGTCTTGCAACGGCTATGCCTTGTTGCAACCCCTCAGTGTAACACACAACCTCATTTTCTCC